CCGCCGCGTGGAAGATGATGTCCGTGCCGTCGTTCAGGTAATGCAGGTTATTGCGACAGTCAAATCCTCTGTAGCCAAACACGTGGTCTAGAGCCAGCTCCTGCAGTCACACGTGGACGAAAGTGACCCTCAGGGGCATGCCGCCGCGTGGAAGATGATGTCCGTGCCGTCGTTCAGGTAATGCAGGTTATTGCGACAGTCGAATCCTCTGTAGCCAAACACGTGGTCTAGAGCCAGCTCCTGCAGTCACACGTGGACGAAAGTGACCCTCAGGGGCAGGAAGAGGGAGGGACGAGCCCAGACCTGGGAGCGGGAGTGGCCGGTACTGCTCACTGGACACGCTGAGCTCACTGGCACGGGGAGCCCCTGCCACACATCGGACCCTCCCCCCGTCCCCCTTAGTCAAGCTGGCTTATCTATACAGCCCGTATATCGTGAGCTTCTCTCTCCTTATGATTTTGCTTTTTTAAATTTCTCTTGACTGGAAAGCTCTTCTCTTCCTTCCAGCTCAGCAAGTGTCTACCTACTCCTGTCTCCTGCTGCCTGACATGTCCCCAACCCCACCACCCTCCCTCCCCCAGGCACGTGTGCTTCCTAGAAACTGTGGACAGAATGTGACTCTGCCCCCAGTCCTGCTGGACAACTGACCCAAGCTGGGTCAATCAGATGGTCTCTTCCAGGAAATTAGAATTGGGGACACTGATAGGCTCCGCTGTGTAACTGAGGAGATGTAAACTCAGGCTCTGGGAAGCACCCATAGTCTACCACATGCAAAGTAATTCAAGAAAACTGCAGAGAAAAAGAATGTATCACACTCGCAAGGCCCTGCTTGGCAGAAGAGAGGTGCCATCTTGGCTAGTGATGGCTTTTCAGCTCCTGGATCCTGTCTTTCCTGAAGCTCAGCTGCATTTCCTGACCTGTGCTGCATTCCATGATAAATCCTTCCCGTAAATTCCCCCTGTCCAGTGAAACATCTGAAGACAGGTTTTCTGGCCTCGGTGTGCCTACAGACTGGTTGAGGAGGTAGATGAGTGAGAAATAAAGGCACAAGAGAGTGTGACGAGGGCTGGGATGGAGGGGCTGTGGGCTAGGGGAGTGCGGGAGGGTTCGGGGTGAAGAGCATCAGGGAAGATCGCACAGAGAAGGGCTTGGAAGGATCAGGGTGTGGGAGCGGTGGGGAGGAGCCCTCTGAGCAGAGGAAATGAAAACACAGGGGCTTAAAAGTCCAAGGCAGCTTCAGAGAACACCAGTGTTTGGTTTGGGGTGAAGAATCACGGGGGATGAGCTTGAAAAGTGGGTCTGGGTAAGATTCTGAAACATGGACTTGAATCCGTTGCCAATGTGGGAAACTCCTGGGTCTTAAAGCCAGTGTAAGGCAATAAAGATTTATGTTTTAAAGAGCTTACTCAACGGACAGCAGGGTATGGGTCAGAGAGGGAGGGGACAGTCTGAAGGCAGGTAAAAGGTCTCTCTGCTAAAACAGAAGGCTTACTAGAGCTGATCCTCACGTCTCAACAACTGAGTTCAAATCCTTCTCCGGTTACTGGCTTGGTGATTTGGAGCATGAGACTTAACAACACCCTTAAACTTTCCTGAATCACAGCATGCTCATTTATAAAATAAAAACAATAATAGTACCTACCTTGTATGTGTGAGGATTGTATGACGTACTTCATTGGAAGTGCGTATACTACACCTGGCACGTAGTAAGTGCTCAAACACTTTAGACACGGTAAAAAGGCACGCTTTCTCCTCTTTCTCTCTTTTCTTTCTTGTCCCTGAAAGGGATGCTGAGGGCCTGAGTGGTACTAGGTATAGGGAAAGAGCCAGGTTTGAAGGACATGGGACATTTTAGAGTTAGTACTAATAGGATCGGGTGGCAGGGCTGAGGGAGGAGGAATGTGACTCAGTGGATCTGATTCTGGTCCCTGGGATGGGAAGAGTGCTTTGTAGAAGAGAGAGGGGACAAGAGAGCCAACAGATCCATTTGGGTTCACTGGATGGTATCTGTGGGACATGCGGATGGTGATGCCCATCAGGCAGGTCTCAGAATGTCAATATCAGATTTAAAGCAAAATAGTTTAACCCCCTCACCTCAACCAGTTTCTTTTTTTTGGTGATATTGTTCTTCTGGAGTTTCTCAGGCTGGGGAGCTGCTCGGCTAACAGGTGGTCTGGAACAGATGGCCGGAGGAAACAGTGTTGGACAAAAGACTGCAAGGTTCCTCGCCTGGCGCCGCCAGCTCAGGCCAGTGCCAGGCTCCTCTTTCCTCCCCGACTTAGGGCCCTTCACCTGGGTTTGTCCTGTCCTGCCCTCCTCCCTTGCCCCCAACCCACTCCAGGAAAAGTAGCTCCTGGCATTAATGGTCCCCATGCAAGGGGGCCTGGATTCATAGGCATTGAGTCAGGTTTCCTCACACAGGATCCCCACACAGGACCAGTCCCTCCTCCCCAGGAAGAGCACATGAGCCAGAGGGGATTGCTTTAAAACCAAAGAGGAGCCTGTGCACGAGAAGTGAGAGGCCACACTTCCTGAACTCAGTGGCTATTTTTCAGACAGGGACATGCCAATGTTGTTCAGAATTAGGCAGTGAAAGATCACAGTATGGTGTGAATGGGACATTCAATCTGGGTTTTGGAACAGACCCTAAGGGCTATGTGCAAAGTGCTCAGGTCAGTTTTTCTACACAAAAGGGCAAGGAGGAAACAGGAGCTAAAAGACAGACAGAACCTGTGCCTCCTACTCTGCCCTTACCTCAGGGTCATGGCCTATGTTAAGCTTCTACTACCATATCAAAGGTTGCTTTTCCCTTCTCAGTTTTAGGGATTTCAGCCTCCAAATCTAACTAAGGTACTTTATAATGGAAAAGCCCTAATGGACTCTTATATGAGTAGGCCAATTCTTGGTGATATAGGGGTTCCCTTAAAACAGATTTCTTTATGTTTAGGGAACCAGTGATGGGTGGAAAGAGACCTGCACCAGCTCCCACTGCAAGTTCCAAATCCATTAGTTATTGCTCTTGGGATATGCAAAGAGAAAGGATTACCTTGATCCCCTTGTAAGCAGCAAACAAAGTCAAGTGAGAAACTTAGTACAGTTTAGAGCAGCATTAGCAACCACCTCATTCATGCACAAGCATTTTCCAAGTGAACAGACATTCCTGTGTGGCACAAACCATGCTTCCCCAGCATGCCAGCAAAGAACTAAAACAGAAATGAAAGAGTGCACCAGTCTACAAATTCAGAAAGCTCATACCCTGGCGTCTCTGGGCAAACTCTGCACTAAAGCGCCTACAGAATAGGAAGAAAAAAGGAAGCCTTGTCAATGCTTCCCGCACACTCTGACTTTACGAATGTGCCGGGGTCTGCTTATTTTTGAGTATACTGGGGAGAAAGTTGTCAGAAAAACAAAGACATCCCCCTGGACGTCATTGGCAGTTATGCACAATGGATGCTTTGTTTGCAAATCAAGTTCAACTCATAATTTAGCCTAGCAATTCCCATTGTTTCTTGGTAGGTCAGCTTGCCTGCTGGAATGGCTTGTGTTTTGTGCATGCGTGCAGGGGAAAACAAGGTACCTTTATTTTCTCAGAAACTCTTCAATCAAAACACGTTATGTAATCATAAGTGATAATTGGACCAAATGGTATTATAATCACCACCGAAGAATGGGTAGAGAGCACATCTCTGCAAAACGACACCCCCGGCTGACATCATTGCCGCCAAATTGAGCAAAATCGGGAGGCTGGGGGCATGGCAGTCCTCACAATTAGACACTTCCTTCACATTAATTATCGCTTCCCAGGACACCTGCTCTTTCTTCTGTTTTAGTGGGACTTCCAAGTGAAATCCGTGGATTTCTTCTTTCACCTAAGAATGTTTAAGTGTATGACAAAAGCAAGCCAGGGTCTGTGGGGGGAGCAGGAGGACGCTAGAGCTATGGCAGGGCTCATAGGCATGATCTGAGACTAAACACAGGCCTCGTTTTCAGGGTACACACAGGTTGTATAATATGTACTATATTATACAGTGTATACAGAGTATGCATACAAGCACAAACACCGTGTATTTATATATACATGGCATTGTATATATATACACATAGAGGCAATCCGATGCTTTTTTTCACCTTGATTTTCAGTAAACAACTGAAAGGTAAAGCAATCTCTGAATATTTTTCTTATCTCACAAGCAATATGTTTACAGCTGTATTGCTTCAAAACTGAAGATGAAGGGAGCAAGGGTAAGAAACCTGCATTGTGGCAAATTCAGGCGATTTTAAGTATTGACTCTTGGCGATTGTGGATTCTGCATGAACACTTAGTACTGGCTGTTCATGAACACCTGTGCTTTTCCAGAGTGCTGTGAATACTTACTTGACAATTCCCTGCCTCCAAAGGAAAGCAAGTTAAAACACAATACAAGTATTTAAGGCTTCTTTCCAAGCATCTATAAACAGTGTCGGTAACATCATACGTGGGAGGAACTGCCAAAAATTTCAAACACAGCCAAACACTGGAGGTTTAGCATTTTTCAGTGGATCTAAATCCTTCCAGATTCAGATTCCATTGGGAAAGTGACTCTGGGGTGGGAAAGAGCTGAGGGCATGAGGACAGTCATTCACTCTTCAGTCCAATGAACTCTATAGTTGCTTGTCCCCAGCTGGCACAGGATGGGAAAGCGAGGCAGACCGTGAGTGCCACTGGGAGTTGGCAGGGAGACTCAGCAGGGTTAAGAGCTTTGAGATGAGGGTGGGGATCTGGGGGAGGAGGCGCAGAGACACAAAGGGGCCTGGTAAGGCAAGTAGGGCTTTGAAGCACCTCGGGGAAACAGGAGGGGGGGAACTTCCATTGGGCAGGAGATTTAAGGAGAGAGCCTGGCAAGAGAGCAAACGAATAGGATAATCAGGAGACAGGGCGACGAGGCGCAGAGACACAAAGGGGCCTGGTAAGGCAAGTAGGGCTTTGAAGCACCTCGGGGAAACGGAGGGGGGGGAACTTCCATTGGGCAGGAGATTTAAGGAGAGAGCCTGGCAAGAGAGCAAACGAATAGGATAATCAGGAGACAGGGCGACAGACAGGCTTGAGGCCTGGAGAGAGGAGCAGCCCTGCCAAGGAAGAGGCTGGACCCAAGCGTGTGACTCAGTGTTGCTCCATCAGGCAGGCCTGCTCTTGCCCAGCACCTGCGGGTGGAGTTACCACCTTGTGGCACATTCTGAGGGCAGGACCACGGCGAGGCCATCCCTGCTGTGATCCCACTGCCCAGCAGCGGGGCTGAAGAGAAAGCTGATCCTCACTTGATGTGTGGAACATGACCCTAATGCAGGCTCCCACCCCACTCAGGCCCCCAAGTGTGGCCAATGGCCCCATATTTGTCCCTCCATGTCCCCTCCCCAAGGTGCTAGGTCAGCAGAGCACACAGTGACCTGAGATGCACAGGAGGGGATTCAGGGCCAAGGCTCTTAGGGAAGCTTCTGAAATGACTGAAGCGGTTATAAGAGTCATTTGAAACCCAAGATGAGCGCAACTCGAGAACCGAGCCTGTGAGAAATGAGGTTGTTCCAAGTACTTTCTATAGAGAGGGTTGTGGCTGAGGAATTTCCTCAGCTCCATTTAGCCAAGAAATGCAAGTTTGAAATCATGGTTTTTAGTAGTGTTTTTAGTGGTGTTAGTCAGACAATATTCGAAGTGTCCTTGGAGGAAACAGCTTTCTTCAGATTCCAAAATGTGCCATATAATGCTGCATGTTTTTTCAAATGTCTTGAGAAACCGAGCAACCAACCCCTGATCCTCATTTTAGCTGGGAACCAGTACATGATGTGAAACTGTTCAGCACTGTCCTTTAGCAACATCACTCCATATATGGGTTTCAGGGATTCAATGAACCCCTGCTACTCCTAAAAAATTATGCTTGCAAGTGTGCATTTTTCTGGGGAAAGGAGGCATGTTTTAATCAGATTTTCAAAGATGTAAGAGAGATTAACAACCACTGCTCTAGGATCAGTCCAGGTTTAGGGAAAGTCTCCAAAGCCATAGGGCCTATTATCAAAACAAAAAGAACTGGATTCTCTGAAGTGTTTTCCTATATCTTCCAGAACCATCTACAGAGCAAAGTAGAGTTGCGGGAAAGCGGTCAGGCACTAGAACTGTGGAATGCCCTGAAAGAATCCCATCACCTTGAAAATGCTCAACTGGAGCGTATAGCACAATCTTGTTTTTATTTTTTATTTTATTTTTTTAGATAGGAATATAGCTCCAGACTTGGCCATTTTAGGTGAATATAAAGTTATTTGGGTGAAAGACTGAGGACATAAAGTATGGACTGGAGGGAACTAAGAGTAAAGGAGGATGGAGTATTGAAGAGGCTACTACAATAATGCAAGAGAGGAATGAACAGTGGTTGTGGAGAAAGACACAAGTGAATATTTAAAGAAATATTGGTGAAATAGGCTTCACCGTGCTTTGTAATTGGTTGGCTTTATGGGATGAAACAGGAAAAGCAATCCAAGTGGGATATGAGTTTTCTGGCTTGGGCATCCAGGTATGGCGGTTCCACTGACTGAGACAGGAGGAAAAGAAAGATTCATGAGGACAGATGATGAGTTTGGTTTTGGCATGTCAAATTCTGGACACCTGTGAGACGGCTATGTTGTATGAGTTGGAAGTTCAGCTGGGAGATGGAAGTCAGAGATATGACCCTGGCAATCATCAGCCAATGGATGGGATATATGAGATTAATAGGGAGGGGGTGGAAGGAGAGGCAGAGATGGGACACTGAGAAGAGAGAGAGAGGCAGGAGAGCCAGTGGAGACTGTTTCAGAAAGGTGAGTGAGAGATGAATGTCTACAACTGCACCATCCAATATGGTGGCCACTGCCACATGTGGCTACTGAGCACTTGAATTGTGGCTAGTCCAAACTAACATGTACTATAACTATAAAATATGCAATACTTATAGAAGACCTATTGAAAGTTTTTTAAAACTGTAAAATAACTCATAGTTTTTATATTGATTACATGTTGAAGTAATTTGCATATATTGGGTTAAATAAAATATATTATTAAAATTAATTTTGTCAACTCTTTTACCTTTTTTAATGTGGCAACTAGAAAAATCACAAGTGTGGCTTGCATTATATTTCTCTTGGACGATGCTACTCTAGAAGAAACAAATT